TCCAGTGAGAATAAAAATTGAATACACTACTTTAATTTGCACAGTGCATTAAAGAACCAGAATGTAGTCACTAGAAAACATGAAGAGGAGGAAGAAAGAATCATCAAACAGTAAGACAATCTGGTGACAATGGGGACCTTTGCAAGGCTGCAATTCCATTATACTCTTAAAGAACCTCAGAAAACTGCCCCATCACTGAAGAAATGCAGGCCTCCCAAAATAAAACAAGACATAAAAGCCAGCACAACCAATAATGACACTTGAGAGGACTTCTATGACACACGCTTATAAAAGAAAGCTCTCCACGGAGAGTGGAATGTGTCACCTTGATCTAGCGCAGGGCTGCTTAAACTTTGTAACCTGCGACCCTTACTCACCCAACAAACTTTTACACAATGTTGCTCATATAGGTATAAGAAACAGGCATACACAGGACACGTTTACAGACAATAAATTACCAACAATTTTTAAGAAAGAATTCTTTGGCATCTATGTAATTTGATGAATTGTTTAAAATGAAAGTGAATGTGTACATTAATAAGATAACATGTGTATTTATTTTTGCATAAAGTTACCTTGGCTGTGTATGTGGTACTACTCTAGATTGCAGGGTTTTGTGTTGTTTTCTTTTCAGAGTTGCTAAACAACCATCAACGTAAGGAACACCACTCTGAATAAACATGAAATGGCAGAAGTATGTTCAGGACTTCCTCAGAAGTTTTTGGAAGGACTGCCCTAATCCAAGAATTAAATTCTCTTCACATATATATTTAACTCAGTAATTCAAAGAGCACTGTCTCAAATCAAGCATTCCAACACAAATAACTCCTTTGTTTACTTACAGCACAACAGAGAATGTTCTAGAATTCGTTCTCACCAGCCTCTACCAACAGAGTACCTGTCATAGCAGGTGTCCCATGCAGACGGCCTTCCCCTTACCAGCTGCAGCGAGTACCCCTTGCTGTAAATGTGCGAATCACAATGCTCTGAGTGTTGCCGGGGATCGTACATTATCTGTGATGTTCTCCAGTGAGTCAATAGCAAAAGCAAAATCAGCAATTTCTTCATTTTATTGATGATTTATTGAGTTTGTTACAAGTTCAAAAAACAATTCCATTTTCTAAGGTGTTCATGTAGGCATTTTTTTTCCCTATGACTTTTTGGTGTACATTTCATCTTCAAAGTTACAAGGCGGATGCGTGATTAACCAGAAGACAACAGGTATTTTTCATCTTCAGTCTCCTACAAATACTCACACATGCATTCCCTCCTCTCTTCAGTCTGGCTCTCTACACCCTCGACTCTAGAATCTGTCTTTTAGAAAACAATTTCAGTAAGCAATCTCCAGTAAAATTTTGACATTTGATAAAAATGACTTTTAAAATGTATTGTTATACTTAAAAACATTTTCAATCTTTGGAAAATCTTTTTCCTATCTCAAAATAACCCTTCTATATGAAGTGAGTTTGGTTTATAAATGTTATAATAGTATTTATATTTGTTTTCCAGCATGTAAGTTCTTAAAATGGAAATCTGGAAGTTAGAATTCTGTCTAACAATCCAATATTTTGTGTTAAACCACTGCCAGAAATTAATTTTATCTTAAACACAGTTAATTTATTTCACCCTTACTTGAGTTATGTTAGAGTAAAATTAATGAGGAAAAATAAAGCAAAAAAAATTATAAAACCAGATTTTATATATTTATATGCTTAAACTTATTTCTGCATTTTTGTGTTACCTCCATTTCTAAGTTACCTATATTTTATAGTATCTTGAATGTTTCCTTTACATTTGCATATGTTGGAAAATATGCAAATTTAACATACATATGTATATTCAAATAATATATGCTGTAAAATGAAACAGTTAATACAACCTAACACATTTTACCATTTGAGTGGTTAAAATACAGTCCGTACCAGGGGAATCTGTAACTGAAACCACGCACTATACTTCCCAGATGCTCCACTACCACAGAACGAATTCCCCATCATGATCATAAGGATGAGCAAAGTTCCAGAGTAATTTCACACTTTCCCGAACAGGTGTGGTGTGAAAGAACAGTGGAAACCATCACTTCTAACAGAAACATCTCACCCAACACAGCAGATCCTTTTCGTTAGAAACCAACATTTGACAAAAGAGTCCAGTAACTGCAACATGTTCAGGTAACACTTTGAACGCAGTCCGGTTAATTCAGACAGGAACAAATCTCATTCCGTTTCTGTTGGTAGAAATGGAGTAACAACGGTCCTCGCAGATGTGCATTTGAGACCTAAAAACATTCTTACAATACAGCTTCTGACAAGTGTGCACAGTGTGTGGTACTACCTAAGCGACTGCTAATGTCTTTAATGTCTTCGTTTGTGACAACCTGTCCATCAATGAACAGAAGAACCTTCCTTTTCAGGGTTTTTTTTTTTTTTAATGACAGTATTGAATTTAATGTCTGCATTTGGTTAGATATAAACACAGGGTCCTTCCTGGTGAGCTAAACCCAAGTTGTTTGTATGCAGACTACAGTTGCCATTTAAACTCTCGAAGTCTCACTTAATGTGGGAATGATAATTACGTATACTTGGTATGGAGAAAGTGAACCTTGAGGCCTGCAAAGACTAAGGAATGCTTTCACAATACCTCACCTGTAAGTGAGAAACCAACACTTAACATGTTTGTTGTTGTTACATGATATATCTATTGTCCTGGACAGTAAGTAATACTAGCAGAGAAATCAAAGAGATCGGTTTCCTTTTTATTTTCTTCTCTATCATTCGGTTAGTATCTAGTATATGATATATAATACATGGTACTTGTATTACTATCTACTAGAATCTCCTAATGTATTAGTTTTCTCTTGTGATTCCTCTTTATTTAAAAAGAAAGTTATGTGGTAAAAATAAATATGGAAAATGTAAGGCAAATTTAAGCAGCGTTGTTGGCCTCATTAACAAGCTAATGTCTATTAGAAATCTTCAACAGCAACTATGCAGCTTTCCTAGTGCCCATTGATCATACTGCCACATCTACAAACCTTCCATTAATACAGTTTTCCCAACAAGGCCCTTCTAATGGTTTTCTGCTTGCTTAGCTTTAATGCCTTGAAACATTAGTGACTTGCAAGATCATCAAGAGAAGTAAGAGACTATCATTCTGAACCCCACCCCTCAGAGCTGAGTGCATGTGCTCTGAAATCTCTGAATGTCTTTTCACACAATACCCTCCAAGGCTGGCGAGGTTATGGAATATAGGCCTTTATTTACCAGCCTGGCTCACATACTGGGTCTTGATAGATGGGGTCCTTCCTATTAGTTGCTTCTCAGATCTACCTGTGTGAGAGTTCCCTGCACATGGGACCTCGAGTATTGTTTAAATGTGTGAATATTTGGTTAGATGTTGAGAGCAGAAACCTTTACCCAGGAGAAACCTCTCCCTCCAAACCCCTTCCATTCTCCAGTCCAGAAATTCATAATCCCATTCGTACCCTACAGGAGCAGGAAAACCCAGAGTAACATAAATCCCATTGTACATCCTCCAGAAATGTCTATGCTGACCATCATCCATTCAGGGTGGAATTTTCTACAAGAATGGGAATGTTGTCTGATCACCCAAGAATTTAAGTGGTTCAAGACTCTGGAAAGATATAATTCTCTTATGGGCTCCTAAAGGGTTGATATTCAACAAAAACAACAACAGCAAACTCTTTAGTTAAATTTAAAATACCAACAAAATAGAAGTCTTGGATATTTAGAGTAACACTGAACCTATGGACAAAGCCATATGTGAAAGTATATTTCAGGATGTTATTGTATCTATTACTACTACTTTATGATGAAATGGTGACTATGTTTTTTGTGATGCAATCAATTGATAAGCATGGAGGCTTTGTTATCACATAAACTTTTTACAACAAGAGAACCTTGAACAAGAAGTTTCCAGTAAATAGCACATAGTCTACAGTTTATTAATAATTTTTTTGTAATTTTGTTACATTTACTGTTTTAGAGGAGAACATTCAATGGCATGTGTGGTGTGGAGTAGGGTTTCTCACCATGTGGGTCTCAGAGGTCAAACTCATGTTGTCTGGCTTAGTGGTTAGGATCTTTATCCTCTGAGCCAGGGGTTCTCAACCGTCCTAATCTTAAGACCCTTTAATACAGTTCCTCATGTTGTGGTGATTACCAATCAAGAAATTATTGTGTTGCTACTTCACAACTGAATTTTTCCTACTGTTATGAACCATAATGTAAATATCTGATATGCAGGATATATGTGGCCTAGGGGGTCAAGACCCAGAAGTTGAGAACCATTGCTCTGAGTCATCCTGTGAGCCTAAGTAAATGCTTTCAAATAATACCAAGTATGAAGCAAGGGAAAGAACATTCATGTCTGTTAATAGCAACCTTATGTTTTATTTGCAATGTGAATGCAAAGACAAGGTAGTCTTAGTTTCAACTAAAGGATGTAGTTGAGCAGGGTATGGAATATATGCCTTCAATCCCTTCCCTTGGGTGACAGAGACAGATCTCTGTGAGTTTAATATCAGCCTGGTATACAAGGTGAGTTCCAGGCAAATCAGGGCTCTACAGAGAGACTTACGTGACCCTCAAATAGAGATAAGCTTCATGGGTAAGGGAGGGATTCACTGTCTGTTTCTTCACCCCATTCAATCCATTCACCGTTTCAGACCAGCAACTAAGTGCAGCCTGAGAGTTCAGCGACAGCCGAAGCCTGAAAGAGAGAGCCACACCCTTCCATCTCTCAGGGATTAAATTGTAACCGATAATGAGGTTTATTTTATTTTGTACTTTTGACTTTGAGGGAGTTATTGCTGCCGTTATTTTGGGACTTCACCCCAAGGATCGCTTGTTCACAGAATGCACAGGAAGATGAACATTGTGGACCACTTAAGTTGTGGTACCAGTACTTCCTCCAGTCTGTCTTCCACACTGTAGCTCGAAGACCTTGACTTCCCTACCCTCCGTGTTTTAGCGTCTTGCTCACTTCCGTTGCCAGGTGACACGCAGTGCTGCAGCTTCGATGGCATGCCTAGTAAGAAAAGTTGCATTGCTTTTAGGTTTTGCTGTCAAAGGTAGTGAAAATAATCCCCTCTACAGAACTTTAGTGTCAAAATGGAGACCGAGAACAAGCCACACCCAAGGTCAGGGTCTCTTTGTCAAGATACATCTGTTTAAAGATGGCCCAAGCCCAGCCAAGGGTCTTTTGCTTTGAGGCCAAGTGAAGAGCATCATTTATTCAAATCATTCAAACTCAAATCATTCTTTAAACTCTAAATTTATGAAGCGCCTATACAATCAAGGAAGCTAGTGTGGCCACTGGCGGGAAGATAAGTTAAGGGGGGTGGCAAACAAAAAGCAAAGTAAGCAGATATTAGGAATGGAAAGGGTTAAGCAGGGGTAGAGAAGAGGCGAGGCTTCCGGAAGGGTTAACAGCATCTTTTGGAGGTGAGAAGGCAATCACACTCATAAATTAACTACAAATGTGGTGATCTGCACCAGATCCGGAAAAAAAAGAAAAAACCAGATCTGTCACCGTTTCATCATGTGTTGGGGAGGGGATCATGAAACCTCACCTCTCACTGACCAACTCTTGTTAGTTCCTGACTGCTGGAATGCCGTCTTCTTCTGTGGTGTAGCCATTCATAAGGTGCCCACCTTCCAGAAACTGACCCTGTACTCGTCTTCCCACAAGCAACCACAACTAAACTCCATGGATGGAGAAAACAGTGACAGCAAGTGGAGGCCAGGTTACTGGGGAAACCATTTCCATGGGAAAGAGGATGAACGGGAAGGGGGTAAGGTGTGACAATGTCCCCAGAGTCAGGACATACGTGTGTGTGAAACTGTCAAAAATAAAAGTAAATCGTCACCCTACATGTGGAGTGTGTGTGGGGGGGGTGATGGGAGGGGAGGGTGGTTGGGGGCATGGGAGGGTGAGAGAGAGGGAAGAAGGGAAGGAGGGAGGGAAGGAGGGAGGGAAGGAGAGGGAACTGGGAACAATATGTAAAATAAGAAAAAAAGCAAATCAGCAAAAAGGTCCACATTTGGTGACACAAACCAGCTTACATCCAATATCTGAAAGGTAAATTGTGGTTTCTAAATACTTCTAATGAGGAATCATATGGATTAAGATGTGCTCCCTCCAAAATAATGTTTCAGACCATTTAAAAGAGGTATATGGGGTCCATTAAGCCTTAGATCAAAAGAAAAACAGCATCCACTATTGGGGTTTCTTTAGAAGCAACCTCTCTTTCTATGTATAGAGCTGGAAATGGACTCAGAGTGTTCATTAACAGCTGAGAAACAAATCCATCTTTCCCTTAGTTAGCCTCCATTAATGCGCACATCATTATTACAGAAAGTTTTTAATTGGCTCATATTTTAAGAATCAGAACAATCTTAACCATGTTCCTCCTCTTCTCACTAATTTAATACACGCGCCCATCATTATGGTTCATTTATAACTGTGTAGTATAGCTATTGAACCTCAAGTCTTCCACGTATTCAACAGTTGCCGTTTATATCTTATTAAACTGATTAGTAAGAATTGTTTCCTGAACTTTAGAATGTTATTAGCCTTTCAGAGAAACTGAAACAATGAGAACATATTGATAAATATGTGTCCACCAAAAACCTACACAATATGTATACACAATAATGTGTGATATATATATATATATATATATATATATATATATATGCATACGATTTCACATGAGCTAAATGTAAAGAAAGATATTCTTCTGATAACTTAATTATTCTAGGTCACGTAAGTTTTAAATTTTACTTACATATTTTTCTCTTTCAACTATGATGAAACTTTGTATTAAAAACCAAAGCAAGAGAAGCTGCTGAATCTTGTGGCGGCTGTTGGCTTCCTGATGCTACCCACCCACCAACAGTGCCAGCTGTGTCCCTAACCCTCGGTCCTTGACCCTGCCTGCGTGTGCTGATGGCTCCAATCCAATCCTTGACTCAGACCGAGGGGAGCACATCCCAGGGACTGCTCTGGGTGTTGTGTGATTGATGTTGGAGACTGTCGGGTCATCTGCACCTGAGGCTTCCTTCTCATTCCGGGTCCACTGTGCAGTGCTCACAACCGACATTTCCTGAAATTCCAAGGAAAAGGATCCACAACTAAGTTTTAGGCCCACGACCAGCCCTACTTCTGTTTGTCCTCAGATGAGGACCCATTTAGTTTGTGGAGTCTTAAACTTTATGACACATCCTATCTCTACCTCCTTTCCCATCAGCAGCTGAGGAGTACAATAAGGAAGAAGGAGGAAAATATGTGGGAGAAAATGGAAAAATCAATTTTATCTCCTACGATCACAGGAAATAAAGCCTGGGTTACCCTGCTTTATTGCATTGGATCTGAGTCATCAAATGGAAGATATTTTATCTCTCCAGCTTATTCATAAAACATCATGTATTACATTATATGGCAAACTGGAGGGGCTGGGTGAGTCACTGAGCTCCTCATCAAAGTTCATTTTTTAAAAAGACATTACCCTCTCTCCCTCCATAGAATATGAGAGAATTGGAGAAGAAAAAATAAACTCCATGGCTTTCTCAGTATTAGTCACAATGCTCCTCTTTGTTGTGTGAGGGACAGTTATTTTTATCCCAAAATAGAAGCCAATGTTCTAAGAACTAGATGATTTCAGTAATGTCACAGAGATTTAGCCACAGAAAGAGATCGTGGTCTTTTGGCTACTTGTCCTAGGCACAGCCCAGTGGAACGTTCTGCTCTCATAAAGACGAGAAACTGATAAAAAGGTGCTGACCCCTATTGTTCCAGAAGCAAAAATGAACAAACCGTATGCTTCTCTGATTGAATAAAATGTTTTCTTGTCCTCCTGATTTAGGATGGCATGTGTGAATAAGCTGTGACACCTTGGTGTTCAAAGACACCTTCCCAAAGTAGAAGAAGAGCTACCAAACTTAGCATTTGCTTTTGAGTACAGACAGATGAAGTAGGACTTTAAGTTACTTAGAAACTGCATCCCAAATGTAAGAAATGATGTTTGTCCCCAAACACAGTCATATGATAAACACATGTGCTTGTAAAACAGCCCACTCCAAACCGCGTACTGAAGTGAAAAGTGAGTTGAAGATGTATTTTATTTGATGAGCCATGTACAAATCTTAGTGTATGTTCACAACCTCATTAAATATATGGCAGCCCTTTCAGAACAAACCAAAACGTGGTCGAAAACTTCCTCAGCCTATTTTTGGGACAAAGAACTACTGGGCAATCTGAGCTCCAGGCCACAGGCCAACCACAGGAGCCATAGACATGGATAAATTTAGAAAGAGTAGAGCAGAGCCTGGATGTTCCTTGGGAGTCCAGAGGTAGAGCAAAGAGCAATTATTTGGGGTGTTGTTCTATCTGTTCATTTATGGCACAATTGTAAAGGTGAAGTTGTAGAATACCAACTGCTTCCAAGCCTACACCCTAAACTCACCTATGCATGAGGACCATTAATAAAAATCTCAGCTGGCAAGGTATAGCCAACAAAGTTCAGCTCTGCCAATACCCATGTGAAAAGTTATGTATTCTCAGTAGCATAATAATTCTTGACCTGTGCCATCAATGTCCTAGCATCTTACAGTGTCTCCGAACAGATTTCCTGCAACTAGCTTGTGAGGGTCTCTGCGGGTAAATGGATGTGTCCTTGGGGACTTGGGTCATCTCATAATTTTTTTCAAAGTTAGATTTTCATTGCCCTGATAACCTTTGAAAACTTAATAGAGAATATTCTGGATCATCGGCAGGATCCCAAACTGCCATTTGATTTGTGCTTACAAACAAATTGATGCCACATGGTATTTCTAGAGGGAAAAAGAAATGGCTTTAATATATAAACCATGTACTTACCCCCAAATGAAGGCCAAATGCTGTCATGATTTACTGTACAAAGGAAGTTTTCATAGCAGTTCCCAAAGGGCAAATTGGGGTGAACTGAATCACCACATAGCGCTGAATAAAACAGCCCTGGCCTTCCAGAAGGCAGCAGAGGCTGTTCTTTGTGCCAGGGTAGCAGCTTCACTCCCATAACACACTGAGTAGAGGGATGCTAGGCAGGATCTGGAGCGCTTCACAGATGTTTACTGGGGTAGTAGGGAAAATGTAACCTTTTAACAGGTACCACATTATGAAGTCAAAAGACTGGGCCCAAACAGTTGAAACAAACGATTATTAACAGAGGCTTTGTAATGGAAATCAGATCTCTTGATTTGAAAATGCAATATGCCGCACTTACAGATGCCAGAGCCCTCTTGGAAGGCAGATCACCGAATCCAAACGGGGGAGTTTGAGCTCCTGCTATACAAAGGTGAGGGAGATGTCTTCAGGAATGTGACACATCATAACTAAGATGGCACACACCTAAAGAGACTGTGGCTTCCGTGCAATCTGGGACACAGAGAGGGGCACTTGGGTGGCCTAGTGGGAAAGAAAATCTGAATGTCCCTAAAATGAAGTAAGCCAATGTCGGGGTAGACCAGCAATACAAGTGAGCCACAGGTTTTCACTGATAAGAGGGGAGTTTCAGAGGGAAACCCACAGGAGAGCTAGGACCCTGGTAAGAGTTCAGGCTCAAGGCAGGGAACGCACAGGATTAGTCATAACATGCTAAACACCCACACACAGTATGAGGCGTGTTCCCTAGACGACTGAGCTGCATCCTTTTCAATTCATTAATGCTCTTCTCAGGAAGTCACTGGCAATGTCTTTACAGATAAAGGTGGAGAAATTACTTTTAACCAAAGCTATACACTATTCGGTCTCTTCAAGGGGAAAGAGAGGCATCCCACAAATCACCTCAAGAATCACAAGAGTTCATGATGAAAGGCTAAAATGGCCTGAGCAGTAAAGAACTTGCCTCAGAAGCATGAGGACCTGAGTTCAGATCGGCAGCACTCACATAAACAGCTGGTGTGATGGCACCTGTGTATTATCCCAGAGCTGAGGAAGAAGCTGGAAAACCTTCCACACAGCCAAATCAGTGAGCTCTAGGTTCAGTGAGAGACTTTGTTGGGAAGAGAGTGAGGAAGATATTTCATGTCAACCCCTAGGTTCCATACACATGAACAAACTACACACACACACACACACACACACACACACACCTGAAGCTTTGAAAGGTATGTGACTTCATTAGCTATTGGCAGAGGCCAACTCCCAGAGTTGTTAATAAAAAAATATGGATGCTATTTCCATTGAAGAAAAATGTATACATAATCATGGATGTACCATCTGCTTTGCATATTTTGAGATCTGTGTCATAAGTCAGCCTGGGAAACCGCATTGGGATGGCCCAACATCCCCCAGGAAGTGTACAGCTTTCAGCTGCAAGCCTGAAAATCAAGGAAGTAAAGTTTCAGCTCAAAACTGAAACGTCCCAAGCTTCAAAGTGAACTCTACATAATGGAATTGCTTTAAGAATGTGTTGAATTCAATAGCTAAGTGTATGATCTCAGATTCAATCAATTAGAACTGTGAAATGGCCTGTAACTTTACCCCAGCACCACCCTAACTCAAGATTCCATTATGATTTAGACACAGAGAGTCCTGTAATAGCAAAAGAAGATGATGAATGCAAAACATAAAAAGATCAACCTTCGCTGCAGTTTATGTTCAACTGGGCAAGAGTTCCGCGATCTGGAATATTAGTTAAACCAGCTCTGGGCCTGTAGAATGCTGTGCCTCATTCCTGCACTATTCCACAGGATTGTCTTCTCCCTCTTTCTGGACAATGTGCTTAGGGCATCACATGTGTGTCTCCCTTACTTTGTAATGAATCTGGTGATTTCAGAGAAAAAAAATGGATGGTGGGGTATTTATTCATGAATATAATTTTTATTTTTCATTGTTTAAAACACAAAATTTTATAACTCTGTTTCCCGAGGTAGGGATGGAAGCTGGTCAGAAATTACTTAAAGAAAAAAAATGAGATTATCATTTCCATTTGAGTGTCAAGAGGAAAGTTGACAATATAAAAGGATCATGAATTCACAGCTGATACTATCTATGGTGTTTTATCTCAAGGTACACTTGAAAAAATACTAGATATTCATATTAATCTGAAATAAATATGCAATTCAATATATAGTACTTAAAATAGAATTAAACATTATCTGTTGGGTTTGTTTCATTTTTGTTATTTTCATTCATCTTACCTCTTACTTGAAACCTCATTCCATAAGCATGCTTTATTAATGATCTATTAATAAGCTTTCACTTAAAACATGACTGATTATAATGTAGATCTAATTTTAAGTAAGTGTTCCGAAAATGTTCATTTATTGAATTCATTGAGGTTTAAGTCCTCATTTGTACAGCTGGAGGGTGAATTACAGATGTGCATGCTTGTTTTTATCATTATAATGAAAGCAGAACTCGTATGTGCAACACTAATTAAAATTCTGTTCCGACCCACATAACTGCAGCCTCTCCCCCAAATAAATTATTTTTAAATCTTTATATTAAATTTACTATGTATGTGCATGATAATGAAAGTATCTATCTTTAGAATAACATAATCAAGGTTAAGAGAAAGCAAAAATTAAGTTCAGACTTTTTAATACTGCAGGGTACATTTTTAGTACTCTACAGAGAGAATTAGTCACACAACTCCCATTAACTTTAATGGAACCTGTATGGGCAAACAGTATGCTAAAATTCCTAGGACGTTAATGTCAGTAGAGTTTAGTAGCCCCCCTCTTTTTCCTCTTTGGCCCTCTACTTTGGGCTACTTTTACTTTCACATGGTCCACAGAGAAAACCAGCCAATAAAAATGATTAACATAAATGTTTTCCGTGTTTTATAAGCTCGCAATTTCTATACATCAGCCAAAAGTTTAAAAATCTGTGAACAATGCATGCAGAATTTTTAAAACATTAAAAACTGTGGCTGGCATGTAAAAACGAAAAGAAACTTTTAAATAAAAAGATTTAAAAATGCAACTATTATATTCAGGTAAATGCCAGTTTCAATATATAAATTTGTGTTTTGTAAATATGAACAGTGTGCATTCATTACTTTCTAATGCACGTTCATATTTTGTATTCTCGTTTGAAGTAGGTAAAGTCAAAGAGTTTAAT